TTTTCCACCAAAGAAAAGCTAGTCAGGTGATGGTAGCAGAGTCTTTGGGATCAGAAAATGATAGACTTTGGGCGTTATAAATAAAATAGAAAATAAATTAATAAAAAACCAAAAAACAAACAAGCAAAACCCCAAACGTTAAACACCCAAGGTTTTCGAAACTGCAGATCCAGAAATGCAGTTCTGAGGAGTAGGGTTTAGTAGGAGTAAAAATGTGAGAGCATTGTAGTTAAACCTATTGCAGAATCACAGATACAAAAATGTGCACATCCCCCATAGACAATGATGCTATCTCAACTATGCTGACATTCTCTGAGATTATGTCAAGAGAAACACACATTCTTTAGCTCAATAATGACGATTTAAATACTCTCCCTGTGATTATTGTAAATATACTCATGTTCAGCTCCACTTCAGTCACTGGGCTTCACTTGGTGAGCAATTGTGGTTTGGAATCCAGGCATTCAGTAAGTTGCTTTTGGATCTAAATGTTGAATGGTAGCCAGAGTTGTTTTACTTTTTTTTTAAATCCAGTCAGTGGACATATAATCCTCCCGTTATATATATTCTATTACAATGAGTGCATATATAGACCCTTTTATTTCATGACACTATTTGTCTTTCTGAGCATTGGTCCATACACTGTGTTTGCTTGTGTGTCTTTAAGTGTGGGAGTGTGGTATTTGTGAAGTGCTTTGGAATATTGCAGAAGTTACAACAGATAGGTTTCAAAGAAACAAAAACAAATACAAGTTAATAGACTTTCCTCCATGTGAATTTGTTCATTCATGCTTACATAAGGGAATGTGCTAACCATGAATCATTCAAATTGAATTGCACATGAGGAAAGGGGGGAAAAAAGCTCTGGCTTTGCTGTCAGCTTCCAGAGCTGCTTTCTTGAAGAGAAAAAGAGTACTGTCCCCACACAAAGAATAATCGTCCGCAGATTTCAGCCTGACTGGGGCTCTAGTTGGCAGAAAGTCTTCTGATTTATGCGAGAACATGGATTCTTTTGAGAGAACTTGTTATCTGAAGAGTCTGTGCTAGGACTTTGTTTGAAGTTTGCCAGAAAAGCCAATGGAAAAGTTTTTGGTTTGTTTAAAAAAAACCCAAAAACCAATTCAATCATCTGGAACCTATGCTCATACAATGCTAGAGTAGCTAAATACTTCCAACTACAAGGATTTTGGCAAATCTGTAGTTTAGGAAACAAAGAACATGGTGGACTCCAGTTTCCACTTCAAAATTCAACTCGATTCATTGCCATTAAGTTAGAACCAACTAATAGCTGGCCCTCCAGTGGATTTTCAGAGGCTATAATCGCACGAGAGAATGCCCCTATTTCTCCAGGGAGCTGCTGGTGGATTCAATTTACATGTCTTGGGTTTGGTAGCACTACTCTTTTCACACTAAGCCATTCAGAACCAGATGAATTAACATCTTGTAAATATAGTCTACCTGCGAGTCCACACAGTCTATTAAGTAACGCACCTGATCCCAATGGCTGACTCTAAAATGCAGTCAGCCTGTGTGATATATCATAGATGATGACCTTCTGTGCTAAAAGAGCTCTGCATGCCCTGCCACAGTGAATAGCCAGCATGCTGATAAGTGATGTGACTAGAAGTGTGGTCAGGGAGTTATGGAGAATTTTAGACATTGCCAGTGCACATATTTTGTGATCTGTGAGAGGAAAAAGAATGGCCAGCATGCTGAAGTTTTGATGCAACTCTATTACTGCTGCTACTAGACTTAGAAAACTTAACATCTGGACAACTTAGTATCTGGTGAGAGTCAAACAGCATTGTTTATGAGTTAGCATGCCTTGTCGGGTGCGTTTCCATTTGTACAGCACCCTCCTCATTTCATTTAACTCTTCCATGTCTAACAGACAGAAAGAAAAAAGGACTCTAAAAAATCAGCTGTTGTATATATGTTGGCTTACATAAGCATCATTGGATAAAACAAAGCAAAACACAAACTATGTATCTAAAAAGATTTGTTACAAATCATACCATAGTACATTTTTCTATTAAAAAAAATAAAAACGTCTGCCTTTGTAACCACTGGTTCAGCATTAAGTTTTCTATACCGCATTCATCATTTGTTCTCTTAGAAAATATAATTGCCCCCCTTCGTATAGGATAATGTCAACAATTCCATCTTACTTGGAGCCTTAGCAACGCCTTTGGTACCAACAGTCTGGAAGATCAGAAGATATATTGCATTGAACAAGTCCCACTGCCAGGTAAAGTGCTGAGAAGTTTGAAGATTAATGTGTGTACCTGATTTAGGTCATGGGCTTTTTTTCAATCACTATATGTGTCAGAGAGCTGGACAATGACCAGGGAGGACAGAAGGAGAATTGATGCTTTTGAGCTTTGGTGTTGGAGAAGAATGCTGAGGGAGCCATGGACTGCTAAGAAAACAGACGCATCTTGGAGAGAGTTAAACTGGGCTGCTCCTTGGAGGCAAGGATTCTGAGACTTCGTCTGACATACTTTGGTCGTGTTGTAAGGAGAAACAGGTCCTTGGAGAAAGACATCATACTTGGGAGGGTGGAGGGCAGGCGCAGGAGGGGAAGGCCGTCTGAGGGATGGATTGATTTGGTGACTGGGGCAATCGGGATGAGTGTGTCGGAGACAATGAGATTGGTACAGGACAGAGCAGAGTTTAGAGTTGTTGTACATAGGGTCACTATGGGTCGCAAGCCACTCAACAGCACATAACAACAACAACAACAACAACTATACATCTGAGAACTGGACAGTGAACAAGGATGACAAAAGAAGAATTGATACCTTTGAGTTGTGGTGCTGGAGACAAGTACTGAATATCCTGCTGGCTGCTAGAAAACCAAGGTGCTCTTCTTTACTTTTGGTGTTCTAACCCAGGCCTTCCTTTGTACTTTTTATTATAACACTCTATCATGTTACTCATCTATTAAAACTTTGAGAAGAAAGGTGCTTTATATTATTGTCATTACTACTTGGCTTTATAAAATTTGATGTCTTGGGCAACTAATGTCACCAACTGTATTTCTTCTGTTTATCTCACACATAATTTAAGAAAAAGAACTATTTTTATCAGTAGCCCTGATGATACAGTGTTTAACATGGTGAGCGGCTAACTAAAAATCCAGAGGTTTGAATTTACCAGACATTCCATGAAAGAATGAGTTGTAGTCTCCTCCTTTAAAAGTTTACAACCTTGGAAACGCATGGAGGGAATCTAGGAGTCAGAATCGATCCCACTGCCATTTGTTTGGTTTTGTAGCATTCATATACTGAGTTATCACTTTTCTTCCATTATGTTCCTTTCAGTAATATTTAGAGCTTAGGTATATGAACAAAGTTCCTTATTGGGGAAAAAAGCCATCCTATGTAACTTCCTTCTCTAGAGAGGTCTTACAAGGCAATTATTGCACTAGCATATAAAGAGCAGTAAACATTTCAGTTCATGTTTTAAAAAGCGAAAATTAGCGAACTCTGCAATTAAGCTGCAAGTTAATTTAAAGCAAATACATTTTAAAATAAAGTTCTCTGGTGGCCTAGTGGCAAGAAGCTGCACTGCAATCCCAAAAGCACACAGTTTGAGTCCACCAGCTGCTCCATGGGAGAAAGGCGGGCAAACTCCCTGGTGCAGTTAATTGCCTCTGAAAACCTGCAGGAGGGTCAGCTATGGGTTAGATCCAACTTGAGGGTACACAACAACAAACCTGTTGAGAAGAATCTTACTGTCTTTGATTTCTATAGGACCCAACCACAATACTTGGGAAAGTACTAACATAGTAAATATTTCTGGTAAGAAAGTTTATAGTGTTTGCCTAAGACTTGGCCTTTTTAGCCATTACAGTTAGCCCCTTCTGGTGTCTTACTACCTAAACTGCAGGCATATGGTCTTGCAAATCATGAGCATGTGTGGAACTAGGATAAGAGAAAGAGTTCATTTCAGGGCTACAAAACTTGAGGGAGATTGGAGCAGAGACCCTGTTGGTGAGACCCTGGTGATGGTGTTGGAGAGACTGTAGCATGGCTGTGGAGAAACTGTGGCAGGGTATATGCAGAGAAACCCTGAGATAAAGGACACAGTGAAAGGTATTTGCTGTTCTTGCTGGATGCTTGAATGAGAAGCTGACTTACAACTTCTCCTTGATGCTTGATCGCTTGGAGGGAAACCCTGCTGGGTGATTTGAATTTGACTGCTGAACTGAAACCAGAGCCTGGACAATTGAGAGATTGTGCCTTGGAACTTGGGCTAAAACCTAGACTTGTTTTGGGTGATATTCTTTGTCTCCCCACTCTGCAACCAAGTTATTAATAAACCCCATTCTTAAAAAAAATAAACCCCACTTTTGGTACCACAATTGTGAGTCTGTGAGTCAACAACAATTAAATGATGCTTTTGCTGTTGGTGCGGCTCTAAAGGCATTGTGCGGCTGGGCTACAGCTCTTTACCTGATTTCTGTTCTGGGGCAGTGATTGGCTATGCCATTTTCACTCCCCTCTGACCCCTTAAGAAACACACTCATGGCCATGTACCCCCATAGCCCGTTTCCCCCTCTTTAGACATTGTTTTATAATTAATTCATAGTCAGGTCTTCACACTGAATTGTAGTGTTGGAGAAAAGTATTAACTATTCCAGGAACTGCATAAAACAAACAAACAGTTTTGAAGGAAGTGCCACCAGTCTGCTCCTTAGATGAAAGGATGGTCCAACTTCATCACATGTACTTTGGACATGTTAAGAGGAAGTGCCAATCCTTGGAAAAAGACATCACACAAGGAAAAGTAGAGTGTCAGTGCAGGAGAGCATGACCCTCAGTGAGCTGGAATGGCATCAAGTGACAGTGGGCTCGAGTGTGGCAGAGATGATCAGAGGATGGCACAGGAAAGGGTGGAGTTCTTACCTGCTGCTCCTAGGGTTGCTGTGAGGTGTAGACAATGAGATGCCACCTAAAAGCAGTAACAACAACGGTTTTGTCTTTCTCTTTTTTCAGACTCCCAAGAAGGAAATTACAAGTCAGAAGTCAACAGCAAACCCAGGAAGGAAAGGACAGCGTTTACCAAAGAACAAATCAGAGAACTTGAAGCAGAATTTGCCCATCATAACTATCTGACAAGACTGAGGCGATATGAGATAGCAGTGAACCTGGATCTGACTGAAAGACAGGTGAAATTGGAAATTGCCATTACATGGTTTTGTTTTATGTGGTTTTATTGTGTTCATTTTTTATGCTTTAAGTAAACAGAATCCTTTGGCATTTTAAAAAATATAGAGATCTAGGCTCTCATATATCAGTTAGGTGGAGGATAGAGACATTATTCTCTGCTAAAGTTTAGATCCACAAAGTGGCAAAAAGAAGAATATGAATATGAAAAATAAGATAATGACAACACAACCTTTCTGTACTTTCACTAAAATCACATTTTTTAAAAAGTGAATGATTGTATAACAACACAATGTAAGTGAAAAAAATAATATGTATGCAAACCAAAGTAAATGATAACAAAAAGGAATAATCGGAAGAGTTTTAAATAAAGCTACACATATTTCAGTTCAAGAACCATCCTTTATCCTGACATTATGCTTTCTGGTGATTTTTATTTTAAATATGATTTTATTTTTAATAATGATGGTATATGATGAAGAAATGTCTTTACTTATAGTTTAAAATCTCCTTAATTGGCATAAAACACTGGCAACCTCATGTCTTGTTTTCTTTCTCTGTATTAGGCATGGTGTGTTGCAATAATAATAAATTAATTCCAAAGCATCAATGGTATAGAAAGAAATACATTTTATTATTTACTCACTTTGCATACTAACTCTGTAAGTTCAACCCTCCAAGTCATAATTCATAGACCACTTTTGACTCTGACATCTCAGGATAGGGTCTCGATGATAACCATAGGAGGTAAGAAGGAGTTAAAGCCTCAAGCATGAACCCTTAAAAGTTTTCACTTGGAAATGACCCATTTCACTTAACATTTAAGATCTAATGTCAAAGAATGATCCAATGCTCTAGCATAGCTTCAAAGGGTATAAAATACTGGGAGAAATAGGAAAACACATCATTTGGTCCCATTGATCAAAATAATTTTGAAATTGTGTTGATTTTAGAAATTAAAAGTTATGGTACCCAATCATTTAGAGGATAGTTTGAAATTATTAACAGTCTCTGAACTCTAGCTCATGAAAGCTAAATAATTTAGGTGGCTTTCTTGGATTGCAGTTGAACAAGAGATTTACTCCAATAGGAAACAATTTGATCTTTGTATTCTGATATACCCAACAAATATCTAGCCTAATGATAGTTAATATTGTTAATCTTTAGAAAAATATTCTTGGAAGAGAAATGGAAACATCTTAATGGACAGTGCAGTTATAATAGGCACTCTTAGAGGTAAGAGTTTCACTTCCTCTCTCATTGTATGATCTGCTGCTACCATGGAACTCACTGGAAGTAAAACATCATGATCAAGGTGTGGCAAACGAACACATAACTTAGAAAGGCAAGTTAATGGTGCCTAATTCCTTAAATGGTCTGCTTTACTTCCGTAGATTTCTATATTTCAGATTTTGGTAGGATGTTTCTGGGTGGTGGAAATATATAAAGAAATATTTTAGTCATTGGCAACTTATGGTTAATTTATTATTTCAACTAGTACCTGAGTTATAGAACATAACATTTTCCTTCCTTTGAAGCTTGCACACAAAGTTTCCTCCAAAAGTGGACAGTATTTGGTATGCTCAGAAGCTGCTCCAAAAATCTATAAGATATTTATTTATTTTTTTTAAACTGGGATCAGGAAAAAAGCAAGAGATAATACACAACAATGTTCTTTAAAACAGACAGTGAACTCCAGGAAATGTAATCATAGTTTCTCTAATATATCAAATAACAGATATGATTTGTGTAAAAGAAGCAGATGCAATGTAGGAGTGGCTGAGTCTGACTTCTACCCTCTTCATAAAGGGGAACTTTTCTCATCAATAATATCCATATTGTTGTTGTTGTTGTTGTTGTGTACTATTGAGTCAGAACTGACACATAGCTGACCCTCTGACTGGTTTTCAAAGGCAGTTAAAAGTGTTGGAGGAAATTGCACATCCTTCTGTGGAGGAACTTGTGGATTCAAACCCTGTGCCTTTGGAATTGCAGTGCAGCTTCTTGCCACTAGGCCACCATTACCATACCAACAACTCCATGGTCAGACACACCACCCAAACGTTCCTGCATCTATTTCTAGGAATCATTGAGATCAATGTTCTTTGCAAGACTCACAGACTCAGCTCACAATTGTGTGGTTTGTTAGGGAAATAGTTTGGAGAATAGGGTACACAAAGAACGTCACACACTGCAAGTCACATATTCCTTTTAGTGAAGTCTACGTTCAGTTCAACAGCACAAATGCAAGAAACTTCTGATTTCCAAAATCATCCAACAAACTATCTCTCAGAGAAGTTACAAGCAAACCTTCCCTTCAGTCATCTAGCAAGCAAAACCTTTAGCTGTGGCCTTTATCTCCAGGGTTCCTCTGGTTGCACCCTGCCACAGTCTCTTTACATACTCTCCACCACTGTTTCTCACGGTATTGTCTTCACATTCCCTCCGCCACCGTCATCACTGTTTTTTAAAATGTAGAAAGTCATCTTCTATTGGCCTCACAGCTGTTGATGATTTGCAAGATCATGTGTCCGCAGCTGAGACCAAGTGCAACCCTCCTCCCACAATGGGAGCTAATGCAATGGCTACTAAAGCTCTGATGCCCTAGTTTGTTTCTAATCTACAGAAATAATGGATAGCAGTGTTATATTCTCAAACAAAAGAAAAGACTCACTTGAGTATCTGAGAATGGTTTATAATTATCTGTCATTGTCTAGTCTGACAAGGCTGAAGTCTGACCTTTGTTTTGGTCTAAGAAAATTACTTTTTAAAACATTCCTATAAATCTGGTTTGGAAATTTGGATGACATTTTGAATATGTCTTCTTTCTTCCTAACTGGTTTGCCATACTTGAGAAACTATTATATGCAATTATATAAAAAATTAAATATATATACATATTCCAGACAAATATTCACACCTTATTTTAATTTTTTTAAAGTATCTTTTAAAATGTTGTAGTATTTAGCTTTTTCTGTGTAACGAATTATGTCATTTTATCACAGTTTTGTAAATTAGGAATTGAGAATGACCCAGAAAGTTCTGTTCGTTTTACCTAAGTTATCCATGCAGCTCCAGTCACTTGGTAACTTGAAGAAGAGTTCATTGATAGAGACAACCTCAGTTAATATGGTTTTAGCCTCTTCTAAGCCAGTGTGGGCTTGTAAATATTACAGTGATCTGGATTAGGATATACCATCTAATTCACAAAAGAAAGCTGAAGCAATCTGCTTCTGTAAAGATATACAGCTTTGGAAGCCCAAAGAACAGTTTTACTGTTTACAATAAGATTGATATATATGTCAGAATCCATGCAATACCAGTGGATTTACATATTATTTTTTTGGAATGGATATATATAATTATCTTAAAATAAGATTTTATAAGATTTACTTATATTCCCTGAGCTAAATTTTACTAGTCTGGATTTCTTAGAAAGCATTTATTTTGTGTTTTCTATCATTAGTTTTGTTGTTCTGTTTTTTTTTTTTGGAGGGCATTTTGTTAGCGTGGGTTATTTTTTTGTTTTATATAGGTTTGCATACAAAATTCGTATACATTGTGTTTCATTCATGTATATTGTGTTTCCCACATTCCTTAATTCGTATTGTGTTTCATATGATCATTCCCATACCTTGTTTTAGAAAATGAAATTATCTTTATTTCATTGTCATTGAGTTAGACTGACTTATAACTGACCCTCCCTGTTTGGGTTTCTGAGACTTTAAATTTCCTGGGCAGAAATTGTCCATCTTTCTCCAGCAGAACTGCTGGTGGTTTTAAACCACTAAAGGCTCATTCTTAGGATTAGAAACTCAATGTCCTGTGAACTACAGTCTCACTAACACTACAAACAAGCAAAATTCTGCTGAAGATTATCCCAAAACTATTGGAACAGGATCCCCTACCCTCAGACCACTTTACTATGCAGCTCTTATTCCGGACTCTTACCATGCTAATAATACCTAATCATATATTCCTTTTATACATTTCTCTCCCTCTTCAGTTTCAATGCCATGCACAAGCTTTTTAAAGTATTCAAATGGAGACATAAAGTTCATAAGTATATAACACAAAGGAAAAAGGAATAGATATTAAATCAACTCAATATATAGCAGAGCTGCTTTACAGAAATCATTTTCTCCTTATTGAACATTTACTTATAATTGCTGTTTTGTGCTACTGCGTTGGAACTGGCCCATAGCTGACCCTCCAGAGGATTTTCAGCTGCAGTCAATGGCACGGAGGAGAGCGCTCATCCTTCTTCTTCTGAGCAGCTGGGGAATTTGAACCACATGTATTCTAGAATGCAGTGCAGCCTTTTACTCCCAGGCTACAAGAGCTCCCTCTTTTATAATAAGAGAAACATCTACATGTACTTTCATCTAGAAATTTTAAGTGACTATATATAAGTATACGTCTGTATAGCATTTAAATAGTTACTTTGCTTTTATCACTGTAGTATATGTGTCATGTTTTAAGATGTACATATTTATGTTATTATAAAGCTATTTATGCTTGAGAGGATGGAGGAACAGTGCAAGGGGAAGACTCCTTGATGAGATGGTTTGACTCCGTGACAAGGATAATGGGGGTATATGTGTCAGAGACGATAAGGTGGTTCTCTATAGAGCAGGGTTCAGAGTTGTACATAGGATCGCTATGAATTGCAGGTGACTTGATGGCTCATAACAACAATAATAGCATTAACAACAAATTAGTTTCTCTTCTTTTAAAAAAATGTTAAATCCTAAAGTATCACTCAGGCTGCAGATATTCCAAATTCTTTCATGAGTTCTTGTTGTTACGTGCCATCGAGTCACCTATGACTCACAGCAACCATGCATACAATAGCTCTAAGGCCTTCTCTGTCCTGAGCCAGTCTCACTGACCCCGACCCACCTACCTGCATTGCCCTACTTACTGTATCAATCCATCTCATTTAGAGTCTTCATCTCCTGTGCTATCTCTCCACCCTTCTGTGCATAATGTTCTTCTCCAA